TCGTTCCAATTTTAGATCAGGCTACCTGTTGGTCTAGCCAGTTCAATATGATTGAGAGGCTAATTAAGGTAAGTTATAACTTATAACTTACCTTAATTAATTTTTTTAACTTTAATTAAAACTTAAAAAGTTTTGAATAAAGTTTATAAAACTATTTTTATTTTTTTATCAACCGGTATTTTTTCTTTTTTTTTTCCAACCGGTATAATATAAATCCAATTATTTCAATATTAATGACATTTACATTACTTAATAATTTTTAAATTTATGTTTATGTAAATATTTCTTTAATAATCCTCTTCATTTAAGTAGTTAATAACATTGTACATATATTTAATGAATTTTTCTGTTCTTCTAGATTCGACCAGTAATTCAAATTTTGAATATGCAAAAAGAAGCTCCAAAAGAATTTAATGTGCAACCATATCTTTGGGGAATGTGGGAGGAATTGAGAGATATATTGCAAATGGCATACGATCTTACTATTCGTCTTCAGCGTGAAAACATCACAGCAGGTAAATTCCTTTTTGATTGGAATTCAATAAAGTGTGAACTAGACAGGAAGGACAGCAACTTAGCCAAAGATTTCCGGAAAGGAATGGATAATAGAGAAAGCACACTACGCGAAAATTCGTTGTTTCTTGCAGCAGTTTACGTGGATATTAGACATGGCTGTATGCTGACAGCGACTAAAGACAAGGTTGCTTTTTTTAATAAAATTTTATTTATATATATACATTTTATTTATTTAACTTTAAAAAGTATATATTCAAAAAACTATAAATGTTTCTATAGATAGCTGCAGCTGATGGACTTTGGAAAATTAATTACAAACTGATTCAACTGGCTAATAAAAATAAGAATGATGAAATGAACAAAACTGAAAAAAAATACAATAGCGTCTAACTCTTTAACAGTTCATATTGCAGACTCTAGTTCAGAAAATGAGGAAAAATGCTTCACCAGTCGCAAAGCGATGACCGAATTTATTTATGCTGTGTGAACAGGAGATTTAAGAGAATTCTTCAGAAGAACAAATGCAGATTCAGCTAAATGTAATAGAAACGGAGTTTCGACAAGCTCTAAAAACGATTCCGGAAATTCGTTCAATGTTTAAAGACAACTCCCCCAACTTAGAGGAGTTTTTAAAACTTAACCCATTAAAAGCAATTGAGCGGTTTCCTGAAGTTTTACGGGATGCCTGCCGAGTCGCTTTGTCGCTACCCATATCCCAAGTCAGTGTTGAGCGACTATTTTCAGTCTTAAAGCACATGACTCCAGACCATCGTAGTCGATTTACATCTGAGTTAATTGACGATATGCTTTTTTTACGAACAAACGAATTTTTTATTTGAATATTTTTGATGTAGATATTGCAATAATGTTTTCTTGTAACTTTATAATTTAGCGCGTAGTTAATGAAAATATAAGTTTTAATCTTTTTATAATTTTATGATCATATGGTTTAAAATAATCTGAGAAATTGATAAATCTGTGTGTGTGACAATACAAATCAAATAAAAGTTCTCTTTGGAGTTGTATTATTTTCATTAATTTTACTATCCAGCAAATACGGGACAAATTAACTTCTGGGTTTAAGCAACCGTGGCGCAGTGGTAGTGCACTTGCCTAAAAAACAAGGGATCCGTGATTCAAACCCTATTTAGGCAAATTTTGCGACATTGGTTAAAAAGGAGGTCTAAATTTCCTGTTAACTGCTTTTCCGCGGGGCTCTGCGATATTAATGGTAGCCTATCAATTTTCTGGCATTTTCACGTAAAAATTCCAGATAAAAAAAAACCACATTTAATTTAAGAAAAAAATAAAAAATACCGGAGTCCGGAGTCGATGATTTTTGTCATCGGAGTCCAGAGTCCCGGAGTCCCGAAAAATCAATGGAACTTCGCATCCCTGATATATATATATAATATATATATATATATATATATATATATATATATATATATATATATATATATACATATATATAAAATATTATATATATATATATATATATATTTATATAATAAATATGTATATATAATATATATATATATATATATATATATATATATATATATATATATATATATATATATATATATATATATATATATATATATATATGTATATATATATATATATTTATATATATATATATACATATATATATATAAAATATTATATATATATATATATATATATATATATATATATATATATATATATATATATATATATATATATATCATGCCTTGTTTTAAATAAAAAAGTGCTTAACGCATTAGCTTAACGCGATATTTGACGTCATAAAATTATTTTTATTTTTTTGTATAGACTTTAAGTGTTTTAACTACCGCAATAAATAAATAACCGCTAACTAGTTTAATTTAACAATTAGCTCAAATAACTATAAACGTTTTAAATGTAAATTTATAATAAAAAGTTTGTAATGTTTTCAATTGTTATCTTATTATTAATTTTAGTTCAATATTATTTAGTAAAAATATATATATATATATATATATATATATATATATATATATATATATATATATATATATATATATATATATTAATTATTTCTGAAATTTGTTTTTGAATAATTATTGTTTATTGTTAATTATTGTTTTTGAATAATTATTGTTTAATCGTTATTGAATAAAAAATAATGATTTTTTTTTATTTTTAAAAACTTCTGGTGTAAACAAAAGATATTAACATTGATAAACAAAAACCTATGTTAATTATTTAAACAGCAATTTTGTTTTGACTAGCAAAGAATCTTGCTTAGCGTTTCAACTTGCGTTATATAAAAATATAAAAACGTTTTGTCTGCTTTTAGCATATTTTTGATACATAGTTTTGAACGTGTTCGCCAGGAATTTAATTCATAAATTTTTTATGTTATTGTAAAAATGTTTTACATTTTAAACAAATCACAAAGAAACAGAGCTATAAAGAAATATCGTTTTTAACGATTAAATTTTTTTTTTTTTTAATTTTAGGAAATTAAAAAAAAATTAAACTAAATATAAAAGTCTTAATTATGCAAACTCTTTTGTTAATTATTCTTAAAACAAAAAACAAATACTTCTCCGCAAAACTTTAATCGTGCAAACTTAAAAAAATACTCAACTAAAATAATATAAGTATATTTAATAATTTGAATCGTATCTGTTTATAATAAACGTTCGTAAAAATTTGTTTATTAAAAATTAAGTTCCTTAAATTTTCATTCTATGTATAATTACAAAAAAAAAAAAACTCTTTTTTTTCTTCGTTTGTAAGCAATTTAACTTAATAAAATAAAAAAGAATAAATATGAGGTAATCTTTGTTAAGAACATATTTAATTTATTTATTAAACTATATTTTTATTTTTATTTATATATCAACTTAAATTAAATATAGTAACATGTTAAAATATTTTAACACGACTTGTGTTATTTATAAACCGTAGGGCAGCTGCCCTTACGACACAATTGTTTTAGGATTATATTTTATTTTGATGAAGATCACATAACTTACATTTGATTTTAATAACGTAAGTCTTCTCTTTTTCTGCGATCATTGCATCGGCAAAGCATCGGCAAAGTCCCAAGATTTAAAAGTTTTTAAAGGAAATCTTTTGTCCTTCAAAATAATATCCATATTCGAACTTTAAACAATTTAGAGAGAATAGAAATATAAAAGGTTTTTATATACTAGTTTGTCTTGTTTTATAATGAAAAATACATATTCATTAATAAAAAATAGAGACTGTCATTAAACTAAAACGTGCCTTAGTATTTATTTAACGGAATCTGTAATGTGCGCGTGCATAATGAAACCTCCATTATATAAATATATTCAACGTAATATTAGTGTCATCAGCGGATGTTATAGTCTACTCGTGATTTCTTTACCTTATAATATAACTTGATCTATGAAAAAAATTTATTGAATCGCACGCAGAAGAAATTTAACAAATTGTCTTCATTCAAAAATTGCGAGTAACAGGTTTTTTTTTTTCTGTGCTGGCCCCCTCCTCCCGCATAACTTAAAAGCAAAAGTATCTATATACCTTTAACTAATAAAAAAAGCAAAGAGTAATAATTAATGAAGTAATTTTTAGAAAAATACAAATAGATTGTTCATTCATTGGCACATTTTTTTTAATATCTTGAAAAAATGTCTTGATATTTTTGTTATCATGATAACAAAAATATTAAGACATTTTTTGATATATTAAAAAAATGTCAACCCTTAATTACAAATTTTTTGCAAATGTTTTTTAATATGAATTTAGTAAAAAACTCTTAAAAAATTTATATTACAAAAAACATTAATATTCTGTATTATTAAGTTTGGAATGTAGATTTTTTAAAAGTTTTTAACTGAAAACTTTAAAAAGTTACTACTTTTTATTAAAAACATTTGCAAAAAATTTCCAGTTAAGGATTGAGGAACGATTTTTCATGTTACTAAATATTTGAATAAAAAGTTAAGCGTAAAATTAAATGTTATAAAAACGTATGATATGTCGCGATAAAAAGTTACTTCAATTATTTTTAACGTAATTTTTTTTTTCTAATAAATATTTTTACATATCGTTATTCAAAAATTAATGTGGTTTTTTTAAAAATTAATTACTTCTTTTATGTTACCGCTAATTTAAAAGTTAAAAAATGATAAAAAGTAGCTTAACCAAAACAGCTCTACGCGTACGTAAAAATCGCTTAAGGCGTACGTAAATCGCTCTAGGCGTAACGCTTTAAAACAAGGCCTGTATATATATATATATATATATTTATATATATACATATTTAACCTATTAACTGGCTGCAATATGAAGATGAAAAATGTATTTGTTTATGGCTGTTATATACTTCTGACCTTAAAATCAATAAAGCGGTTAAATCTGCTGAACCTCTCAAATCTATTTGGAAACTGTTTTTTGTTAGAGTGCTGCATTCTTACAGTAAGCTTATTTTACGTTTTATGGTTTTAAACTTAGCTTATTTGTTCAAAAAAATTCAGTTTTAATTTTTATTATCTTAAAAGCACATGTGAAATTGCTAATTCCAAGTTGGATATTGCAGAGGACTGCTCAGAACTTCCAACAGAATCAGATATTGACGCAAAAAAAAGGAAAGCGAAAAGGTTAATTTTTTTATTCTAACTTCAATTTATTTGATTATTTCAGTAAATTCTTAACATGATGTTTAAAATTATGCTATGTGTAACAATATTCTATGTTATGGTGTTCATTTTATCTATTGGTAATATAAAATTTATCTATTGTTAATATAAAAGTTTATTTTATCAATAGATAAAATAAATACCAAAACATAATAACCCTATAACACAACAGTAGTCTCTGAAATAAAAAGGGTTAAAAACTAATTTAGGTCATTACCAGTTTTATGGAATGAATTGTGTGATTCAGATTCCGATTATATAAAATCTTAAAATGGAAAGAAGTTTTCGGTATCAATTTCAACCTCAAACCTGGAGTTTCCTACTCCTCCTCAGTTGCAATCCGGTTAGATTTTTGCATTTTAATAACTATTTCACAGATCATTAATGATCCATCAACATTCTTAACATTAATGATTATAATTGTCCATTAATGACATTTAAAAAAATAAAATATATTTTTCTATTATACTATATTTTGTTTTGAAAAATATTTGATATTACAAATATGTTTATAATGCATTATTTGTGCATAGAAATTCAAAATGGGCCTCTTCAAAATGCATCATCTACTATCTGCTCTCTCTCTCTCGTCATTATTTTTAAACGGTTTAAAAATAATGACGAGAGTAGTAAAAAAGGTTGGTTAACACTTTTAGTAAAAAAGGTTGGTTAACACTTTTTTTTTTAACTTGAAAGTTTTACAATTTTTAAAGTTTAAATTATGGTTTGCAAACTGTCTGTTTGTATATGTGTGCTTGTAAAAATAAGCTTAAATATTTAAATAGACAACCAAACTACACTACCATCATCAATATTAACGCCAGTGCTTACTATAGCACTGCAAGTAGAGCAGTTATCACCTGATTTGGTCAATTGTCATGTTGGAGGTGTGTTTCATTTATTTATGCATTAGCAAATGATGAACTTGTTTGTTTGTTCATATGAACTAAATATATATAGAGAATATTTTCTTGCTATTACTATTATTTTTATTAAATAATTATTATGCGTATTTAAAATATATATATTTATTTTATTTTTCTTCCTATTTAGGAAATGATCATCGAAAACTAATATTATTAGAAGAGATTAAACAAAATAATCAAACTATAATTTTTCTTCTGCAATGATTATCAGCACAACAGCAGCGTGGTAATATAGAAACAAGTTTTGATGAGTTTGGGCTTCCTGTTTTATCAATGGAACATTTACAAAAACTAGAAACAGATTGCCTTGACAATGACCTCCGAGGAAAGCTTGTAAGATATTTGTTATAATTGTTTAGTTCCCTTATTCAAGTTACATTAAATTTATTACATGGTAAATAATATCTTTTAAAATTGTTTTTTTCCTTTTAGACCTTTTTTAGTCCCTTTAGTTATTTTGGTCAGTGTGGCACAGGTTTGGCATTAAAAAAACTGCTTAAAAAAACCAGCTTAAAAAAACCCAATAAAACCCGGTTAAATCTGAAAGTTTTTTAAAGATATTTAAAAGTTTATGAACTATTATAACCAACTTTAATATTATTAACTATAATATTATTAACTAACATAATTATTAATTATTATTATTAACTAAATTATTATTAACTAATATTAATAACTATTATAACCAACAATAACAGCTATCAGACTAATATTTGAATCATTACTTGGAAATACATTATAACAATTTTTATTAAAATATTTTTATCAGTTGAGATTTTTTAATCTTTTATGTTATTCACCTCCCTAGGTGAATTTAAATGAGTATTAGTGGCCAGAGAAAGCCACTACAGTCAAGGAGGCTACCTTGCGGTTACAATCCTCTTTCAACTCTTTAACTCCTAAACACAATTTTTTATAAACAAGGCCGTTGGGCAAAGAAACAAGTTGGTTCATATAAATTTCAAGTTCAAATTTTAATTGAAACTTTAGTTACTACCTCCTATTCTATAGCCTTATTTTTCCTATTTCTCATTGACATTTTTAATTACATAGAATAATACTTTTAAATTTAAATTAAACCAATACATATAGATTTAACGCAAAATATTTTTTTTCTATTATAGTTTTAAGTTGTATTTAAAAATCTTTTTCAAATTAATTTGAAAAGTTCTTATGAATTATTAAATAATAATATATAAATATATTTTAAATAAAATTAAAGTATAAAATTTCATTTAGTTTTTTTTTTTTTTTTTTTTTTTTTTTTTTTCAATATCATTGAAAAAAAAAACATTTTTACACAGACGAAATAAAAATAAAACCCAAAAAACCCCAAGTTTACCCAATAAAACCCTAAATTACCCAAAAAAAATCATCTTACTATTGATGTTTTTTATATTAATATTTTTAAAAAAAATATTTATTTATAATTTTCATTGTTTTATATAAATGAAAGTAAATGAGTTTATAGTTAATACTTATAAGTGTGTATGCATAATACATGTTTATTTTATTTAGATGCTGTTCGGCGTAATCCTACAATATGTCGCGGTACGGATGCAAGGTTGCTTGTGCCATTAAAGCATGGCTTCGATTCGCGAAATTTGTGTGGAGGGAGGAGAAGAAACATCATTTTAACGATTTTAGTTATATAGTTTTATATATAGTTTATGATTTTTTTGTATGTGTGTAATAGTTTAAATTATTTTGTAACGAATAAACATTTAACTAGAAACCAACAAATTTATTAACTTTAATACTTTTATGTAACTTTAAATACTTTTACATTTTCAACTTTTATAATAACGTTAGTTCAATGAATATCAAATCATCCCAGTCGTCACAACGCGTTACTAACATTGTTGGAAACAATGCTTGAACTCTTAGACCAACGTTAATAAAAGGCACAAATGCGAATACAATATAAAACTAACAGTGTGCCAACGCAATGCAAACAACATTGAGTATACACGATGCCGACATAGGCTCGATGAGCAGCCGATCAAATGCCAACGCAATTCCAACCTTTAAACATTATTACGCCAACATAGCCCCTACAAACCCATACCAACGGTGCACCAATGTAAAGTCATCATTATACGAAATGTGTTATGCTAACGTGTCGTCAACTATTTTACTTGGTTCGGCCAACGTTGCGCCAACAATTTAAAACCATATTGGGCCAATGTTGCGCCAACAATATTAGGTGTATGTTACGATGGGCAGCCAACCATGCCAGCACGACACCAACTTACGGCCTACCAAAACGCCTCGTTGGCCCAACAATCAGAAATACGTTGGGCCAACGTTGGGCCTACTAAGTTGTGCTGCTCGGGTTGCTGCTTGCATGTTCTGACAATTTATATGTTTTTATGCGCTGAACAAAATTAAAGAGCAAATTTTAAAAAAATACAAAACTTTAAAAAAAAAAAAAAAATTAAAATATAAATAATAATTGTAATAAATATAATAATTTAAAAACTTTATAAAAATCTTAAGAAAAGGTCAAAGTTTTTAAAGTTTTCTAAAATGCTAAGGTTTAATGACCTTTTTCTTTTGTTTATTTATTAAAAAGAGTAAATGTTTATTTGTAAAGAAAAACCCTCATTTACTAAATAAAGAATAAAATGATTTTATTCTTTATTTAGTTTATGTAAGAATATGCTGACAATATGCTGTTTATTTAACAAATGTGTTATAATTTAACTAGCAAGTATTTTGTTTAAAAAAATACATATTTATATAAATATAAAAGTATATATATAATACTCTTAGATAATATAAATAAAATGTATTTATTATAAGTAATCGTTTGAAGCAATTTGTTATTATTTAAAAGCGTTTCGCACAATATACAAAAACATTTAATTTAAAGTTATTTTGAAATATCGAAGTTATAAAAAATACATACTTTTAAAATAAAACATAAGTTATATTGTATATAAGATTCTTTGATAATTTAAATAAACATTTTATTAAAAACAATAAACACTGATCAAAAGTAATTTGCTACTTTATTTAAAAGAGTTTAGTACAATACAAAATCATTAGAAAAAATCAAAGTTTCAAAGTTATTTATTCCAAACATTGTCAAGTTGTCTCAATAAAATACTTTATGTGTGGATAGATAAGGCATTAGACACATGCACTTCCTGAAACAGCCTGATATATATAAATAAATAAATAAATATATATATATATATATATATATATATATATATATATACATATATATATATATATATATATATATATATATATACATATATATATATATATATATATATATATATATATATATATATATATATATATATATATATATATATATATATATACACACACACATCACGCTTCTGTAGTGAAATTTTAAAATATTTTCTCTTTTAGTAAAATATTAAAATTTGTCTCCTATACTGTCTAAAAAACCCAAAACAGAGTAACTGGAAAACTTCTTATTTGAAAGTGCTGTGATTTGACTTTCAAAAGATAGTTCAACACAAAATTGTTTTAGCAATGAGCTTTGGCTCATTAATATTTTAAAAATTAATATTTATCCTTTATCTCTATATATTGTAAATTACATGAAATTAACCCTCGGAATTAGGTTCGGCATTTGGCAATGTCGATCTAAAGTGTTTGAGGTCAGCAAAAAGTTGCCAACCTTGTTTTTATGTTTTATGGTTTTAGCTTTGTATCAAATAACTTTTGCTGTCCTGATGCCGACCTTAAAAAGATTCAGGTCGGCAAATTATTGCTGACCTCAATCTTTTTAAGGTCAAACCTCATTTTGCTAATTTTGAGGGTTGTGAAATTGCGCAGGGTTACTGTAATGTTACATCTCAAAAAAAAAAAAAAAAAAAACACGATAAAAACAATTTTTTAATTTACTTTGTTTTAACTTTCCTTGGCTGTATAGTGAAATATAAAACAATCTCTTAATAGTAATTTTGTTTTTCTAATGTTATAGCAAAACAAAAATATAAACAATAACAACAATATAATAAGTAAAAATACCTAATAATAGTCCAGTATTATAGTGATATCGAGCTGTTTGAATTGCTTCATAATGCTTCTTTATAACTTTCTCTACCTAAATAAAACATTAAAAATATAAAACTTATGTAAAATATACTATTGTTTAATTTATTTAAAAAAATAAAAAAAAAACTGTAGTAGTATATTTAAGCTGTACCCGATAACTTGGTGAGTGTATTTTGTACACTCACCAAGTGTAAGCTTAAATATAATAGACAGCTAAACCATTATTCAACATAGTTACATTATTTAAAATCTATTTGTCAAGTTTAACTAAGCTTAACAATCTTTAACTAGTAGCACAATGATGAACTTTTTTCTAAAATATTAATTTCATTCTTAAGATATGGCAACTACATAGATACACTCAGTGCATTTAAGGAAAGATCTGAAAGTTTTGCGCTTCCTAAAAACTTTTGCGCTTCTTAAAAACCGAAATTTGCATTCTTAAAGTTTAACTATAAAATTTTTTTCTTTTTCTTTACTTTTACTATTACTATTACTATTTACTATTTATGATTATTAGAGATTAGTTAAATTTGAAACTTGTAGAACTTTAAATTACCAAACATTTGAATATTTTGCAAAGTTATTTTTCGATAGCCAATCAAAATATAGTTTCACGGATTGATACTTTTTAAAAATTAAAGCACATAAAATCAAGCTGAAAGAGTTAAATACTGATTTGTTCTTTGAGTTTCTTAGTTTTGGATTGGCAAATAAGAAAAAAAAAAAAGATTTTCTTTTCCTGTTAAAATTGCAGCAACATTTTGCAACCAATACTTCAGGGAGCACAATAGCAACCCATAAAACATAGAAACGTGGTCAGCGGTCAATGCCAACCCTAATTAAAAGAGCTGCAATAGTAAAATATCATCTTTTCAATAGGCTGCTCAAATATTTTCAGATTGGTCAAATTCATTATACAGCAGCATAACTAGAGCCAAGATCTAAAAACAACTTTTTTTTGGCACCAACAGACTATACTGAAGAATTATCAAATTTAAAACATCTTGTTAAACTAAATCCACAAATAATGTAACTGATAAAGTACTTAATCACTCTCATCAGAAAGTTAGAGTACAGTTTTTTTTGAGATCTGTATAATATATCAAATAAGATATCAGAAGTATTACAGCTACTTTATTTTATATTACTGTTTTGTCTTTGAATTCATGACATTTTTAATTGTTTAGTTTTAAAAAAGACAGTTTATTCAATTTTTTTCTTTTATAACTTTTTATCTTATTATCTATATATTTTTTGCTATTATAATAATGTCATTTTATCATATAAAATCATGTTTATTACCCTTCATATTTAAGCAATTGTGGAATGCAAGATGATCTATTGTTATACTAGAAAAAAAGGGTTCCAAAATGGAAGAACCTTTCTGAGATTGCAAAAAGAATTTTTAATGTTCGCGAATTGCAGTATCTGGATATATTTCTGGTCATTAAATTACTGCAAAAATAATAACAGCCAAAGTTTACATATTTTTAACTATTGTTTTCTTAAACATCAGGTAATTTAAGAATTATAAATAAATAAAAAAGCTATGGAAAAAAAAATATTACTTAAATTTTCAAAAAATTTGTGCGGTAACTTAAAAATCAATCAATAAAAAAGTTATGCTAAAGCTATTTGCCCATTTTATGAAACATTAAAACCGTTGTTAAGAGGGAAAGCTTGAGGAATTGTTCAAAAATTTAAATGTTTTAAATTAGAAACTTTATAAATGATAACAAAAATAATAATAAAGATATATTTTTTCAAATAAGTCATTGAAGCTTTTTTGTTTTATCTTAAAATAAATATAAAAAGTTTCAATTAATTTTTATATATTTTTAAACTACTCTGCCATTAATTTTGTATGCATGTTTTTTTAAATTTTTTCTGCAAAAAAGTTATGAGTATTTAATTTATAAGAAAATATTGAATAAGATTTAAATAAGATATAAAAGTATTTTATATCTTATTTCACAATTTCTTTAATTTAAAATTTTTGCTAAATTCCTAAAACTGTGATAATTAGCAGTTATTTTTTAATAACTACATCATATTTTATCGTGCTTTATTTTTCTAGTTTTATCTGATGACTTAAAATGAATTAAAATATTCATCTTTAAATCATAATTTTTAATAATAATAAAAATAATAGTAAAAATAAGGTTTTATAATAAGATTTTATATCATAATTCAAAATTAATATTGAATAACAGCTATTGAGTTTAGTAACCAAAAGAGAGTTTTCCATTGTTTAAAATATTAAAAATTTAATTATTGGAAGCATTTCCAGATATCGCAATTTGCGATCACTTAATTTGAGCCTTGCAAGATACTGCAGCCAGCTCTTCATCTGAGAGAACATTTTCATTGGCTGGCCAGGTTCTTGATATTTTGAGAAAATTTTTGAGAGAAATTTTTTATATTGCAATTTATGTTTGCAGAGATGGGTGTTGATGGAAGGAAATGTTAGCAGGGACAGGTGGGGATCAAAAGATATGCTAGCGGGGATGGGTGGGGAGTGAGCTTGGGAAGACAACTAACCCATAAAAATGCTTTTATTATTTTTAAATATTTAAACAAACAACTTACAGCAGCCTCAATTTCATCTGGGGAATAGTTAACATTAACTCCACACGATCTTTCAAATGTCTCTAGGTTTATGGGATCAGTTGGATTATATTTGAAATATTCCAATGCAGCTAAAAAAAACTTGTAAATTTAATAATAATACAACAACTATGGATATATAAATGCATAATAATATAAATTAAAAGATATACAAAATATATAATCATATATTCATATTCTTTACTTGGAGTTATCTTATGGAGCTTTAATACTCAGATTTTGTTTCCATTATATATAGAGAGAGATTCTTTGAGAATATTAAATCATTTATTATATATAAGTGTATATATATATTACATACACGAAGATACGCATACAGAAAAATAAAATTTATTTAAGTTATACAAGTTTTAATTAAATATAAAATAAATGTAATTAAATAATTGTAATAAAACTCTCAAACAAATGTAAACAGTATAAAGATGAAAAAGCAAAAAAATAATGCAAACACGTCTAGACATGCACTTATACAATGAAACCATACATACGCATACACTAAATAATGTTACTTCATAGTTTATGGAATGTTGCTTTAACTTATCTATACATACATACATATATACATATAAATATATATGTATATATATATATATATATATATATATATATATATATCAAGCCTTCCCAGGAAAGGCATGCGGTTTTTTTTCTCGTACGACCACAAAAATGTTTTTCAAGTTAGAGAACGTGACCACGTCCGTTTGCGCAAGTTATATTATATGTGTTACTGAAAAATTGTTTTAAATTTAATAACTGCATAAGAAATTAAAGTAAACTTAAATAGAAAACAATAATAATAGTTTAAATAATTTGTTTGTTGTTTTTATTTTTGTTTTTTCTTAGTGGTTATAATTATCAGCAACAAAATTCATTAAGTCAAAGCAAAAAAAAAAAAACGGTTTTAGGCGTTAAAAAGGATGACTTTCCCATATTTTATGTGTTTTTTCTTTTAAAGAGAAAAGAAAAAATATGCATCATCATCTGTTTGTAAAATATATTTGTATAATTATAATGTGACAAATTTATATCAAGAGTTAAATTATACGGTCGCGTTTGCAAACTCTGGTAAAATATTAGGTCTTTAAAATTTTAGTTCATGCAAAGCTGTGTACTTTGTTTATAAGGAGCAAATTATTAAAAGTTTGCTAGCGAGAAAGTTACAAAAAACAAAACAAAAACAATAAACTTACGACTACAAAAGTAATAACACTTTAGTCACTAACTGCATTATAAAAGTAATAAAACTATAATAGTGTTATTACATTTATAAAGCACTTATTACTTTTAATGTTCATTCTTTGTTCAAACAACATTATCAATTCCAAACATTTACTAAAGTAGAAAAGCATCTAGAAAAAATAAAGCGGATATTCAAATATTATTAAAAACTTCAGGAACTCTCACATATCACTTAAACAACGTTAAAAAAGTACTTTATAAAAAGTATAGCATTATGAAAAACGTTACGTAAAAACGCGCGTTAATTTTAAAATCAACCAATAAAAAAATTTTATTGGTTAATTTTAAAATTAACGCGTGTTTTTACGGTCTATTAGTAACGTTTTTCATAATGCTAAACTTTTAATACGACACGTTTTCATAAAGTTGTCTGTCACGATTTTATAAGTTACTTTAATATTATTTAATATTATTTGAACATCCACTTTATTCTTTTAGATATTTTTCTACTTCGATTAAAATTTGGGAATACTAATGTTGCTTAAACAAAGAATGGGTTTTAAAAGTTATAAATGTGTTATAAAATGTAATAACACTATTATAGTGTTATTACTTTTGTAATGCAGTTAGTGACTAGAATGTTCTTACTTTTGTAATCGTAAGTTTGTTTTATTTTTTCGCTACCAAATTTAAGTTGATTCTCCCCTCATAAACAAGGAACACGGTTTTGTATAAACTAAAATTTTTAATGCTAGATATTTTACCAGATTTTGCGTTTTGCATTCGCTTAATTCAACCCTTGTTGCTACATTGAAATTATAAAAATAAATTTTACAAACACATTGCAATTTTTATTTTTACTATCCTCTTAAAAAAAAATTAAGAAAAAGAAAATCATTCTTTTTATTGTAGACTTTTTTTTTTGCTTCGCCTTTTTGTTGCTGAATGTAACTCTAAAGAAACAAATATAAAAACAGTACACAAATTATTTAAATTATTAATTTGTTTTTATTTTTTTCTATTTCAATCTCTATTTATTTTGTTAGTTTTGTTTTTTTTGTTTTTGAAACTTTTTCAGCATTATTATAAAACTTGCAAACGGCCATGTTCACGTTTTCTAAAATAATCCTATCGCATGGTCATACGAAAAAAAAACCGCACGCCTTTCCTGGGAAGGCTTGATATATATATATATATATATATATATATATATATATATATATATATATATATATATATATAATATATATATATATATATATATATATATATATATATATATTAGTGATGTACCAATTAATCAGCATCGGCTTAATCGGCCACTTTTTGCACAATCGGGATCAGTATCAACCTCTTTTACCGATTTTCCAACCAATGGCATTTTAACATTTTTATTGTGCATTATTATAATAATTAAATAATAAATAAACTAAACTTTATGCATTACTTGGAATTTTTTGGATAAATTTTTATTGTGACTTTGTTTACAGGCAAAAACCTTAAAAGTAACCTATTTAAGCATTATTATCTATATTTTTTAAATTATTTTTTACTCCCAACAAGGCTGCAAGCAACCACTATCAAGTTATGAGTTACTAGAAAAAAAATAGACTTATAGGTCAAAGAAACGGTTGACAGAAGAGTTAAAAAGTTGAAGGTTGTATTAGTCAGGAAAACATGAAGATAGGTCAGAGTTCCGAAGGGTTAAAGTGCTAGGGAATAAGCTAGACAAATAAAAAATTTTGGAGCATGAAGAGACAGTAAAAGATTGAGACTTTGATGAATGATGAGTCAAGTGAGAATGAGTTTTGGTTGGTGGAACTACAGATGAAAGCTCCTTTGAGCAGCAACCGTGATTAAGTATTTGTAGAAAAAAGAAAGAGATACACCTTTACAACGATGGGAAAGAAGCTCAAGTTTAGCAGATAGACCAGGTCCAACTCTGTTTAATAATTAGTTAATTCATCGGTATCGGCCTTTTCCTATCCATCGGCATTGGTATCGACATTGGCCAAAAAAGTAATATCGGTACATCACTAATATATATATATATATATATATATATATATATATATATATATATATATATATATATATATATATATATATATATATATATATATATATATATATATATATATATATATATATATATATATATATATATATATATATACAGTGCTTCCAGAAAGTATTAGCGCACTTATTTTTTTTTTTTACCTCAGAGAACTTTAAAGGATTGTAATTCAAAAACAATAAAAAACTGATTGATAATTTTTTTTTTTAACTAATTCATAAAATTATGCAGAATTACTAATTGTAAAATATATAGAAGTATTTCTTTATTATTATCTTGAATTTAATTAAAATACAATAAGAGTGATAAAAACAATTATAAAAAAATGTGCAAAAGTATTAGCGCACTTACAGTTTTTCAAAGATTTTAGCAAAGTTTAATATTCTATGTGACCACCTTTGTTTTTAAGGCATGCCAAGACTCTACGCGGCATAGAATCTATAAGTTTTTTGATTAGTTCTTGTGGCATGGTATTCCACAATGCTTGCATTTGCGTTTTGAGCTACACCAAGTTAGTGGGCCTGCTTTTTTTTAATTTGCAGTCCTTCCAACTCCAAAGATTCTCAATAGGATTCAAATCAGGTGAGCGAGTGGACCAAGCATCATTCATGTATTGCTTAATTGAGCGTGTTGTGTGGCAAGGAGCGTTATCTTGTTGAAATTGCCAGGTGGAGTCAGCTTTGGAAATGTCCATTGATGGCTTGAAATAATCTTCTAATATCTCTCAATATCGATGTTGATTAAGGCGATCAGTGTAAAGATGCGCCAGGCCATTGCTAGATCCAGCAATACAGCCCCAAATACCAATTGAACCTCCTCCTCCTTGAACTCTTGACATGATAAAATGAGGATTATATTTTTCGTGGCTTCTTTGTTGCAAGGTATGAATTGAGTTGTTTTTTTTTCATCAGCTTGCTAACTGTTGATCAGCTTACTTGATGTGCACTCATCGCTGTTTTCAAGTCTGAGGCGATTTCAGCTATACACATGTTCGGGTTGCGTCTAGCAAGCATAATTGCTTTATTTTCGTCCCTTTCTGACATTTTTTGGGACAACCAGAGCAATTTTTGTCTTCGACTGATCCAAACTCATTATAGTTTTTTAGCGTTGTTCTAACGCTGCATTCACTGATTTCAAGTTGACTTCCAATTTCTTGATTGCTGAAACCACTTTTGTGCAGGCCACAACTTGCCACTCTGTTTCAATTGATATGCTCTTTAAAACCATATTTTTGTTGTTCAAAGTTTTAACTAATCTTTTTATCTGTCACTTCAACTTAAGCTTCTTATATTTTTTATTGACTATTATTAATCAGCAGAGAGTTATTAACAAAAATTAACCAAAAAAGTTTTTCTCAAAGGAATTAAACAATTGTACCAATACATTTTAAATCAGTGCGCTAATACTTTTGCATGCGTAATTTCACACATTTTTCAGAGTAGTCATTAAACTTCTAATTAATTTATCAAAAAAACAGGTAGTTGGACAAATATTTGACATTCTAATTAAATTTAATTGGTTTTACCTTTCATTAAAAAAAACTAGTTCGTAATTAAAATTACTTTATAATTTAAATGGATTTGAAGTTGTCTGTAATAAAAAAATTACAAGTGCGCTAATACTTTCTGGAAGCACTGTATATATATGTATATATATATATATATATATATATATATATATATATATATATATATATATATATATATATATATATATATATATATATATATATATATATATATATATATATATATATATCTATATATATATATATATATATCTATATATATATATATATATATATATATATATATATATATATATATATATATATATATATATATATATATATATATATATATAGATATATATATATATATATATATATATATATATATATATATATATATATATATATATTATTTAGGTCAGCAATTTAGGTGTTCCTCAAGAAATAACTTCAACAACAGAATAAGTAGAAACTGGAATTTTTTGTCAAATTTTGATGTTTATATAAGGTCCATAAGTTGTTTTTAAGCTAATTATGACAACTTATAACATTAAGAGCTATTATATCATCTAAATATGATCTGCAACAATGTATATATTGTTGTTGCAGTAAATTAATACTATTATTATGTTTGTTTGTTATAAAAAATGTTTTAATGTGCTCTTGAACTAACATATAAACTATCATTATTGAAAAAAAACTTTTTTGTAAGAATTGTATATTTATATACAATTCTTACAAAAATGTGTACAGTTTTGCATATAAAAATATATATGCAAAACGATAAACATTACAAAATGATGGTCAACGTTGTAATTTTATATTATGTTTTGAAAATACAAAATGTGATACTTTCTTGAAACAAAAATTACAGCTAAATGTTAGTCAGAAGGATTTATGTTAAATAAGGAAATATTTGTTACTATGAAAACCTATGAAAATGAAATAATCTTTATGCTTATCTTCCAAAAAAGAAAAAAGAAATATAAGTTACATAACATTACAAAGTAAGTAAAAAAAGGAATAGAAACTTTAGGTGCCTCAAGAAGTCCTAAAAATCTTGTTACAGAGTACTAAGGAACAGCATTTAACTAAGAAGTTCACAGCTCCTTTTTTACTGATGGCAAAAAACATGCTCAGCTTGCTTACTTCTGAGGCAAGCACACTAAAAAATGCATAAAAAACCACATCTGCTAAATTTCTATTTTAACAAAAATAGAGAGTAAAAAAGAAGAAAATAAAATAAAATACTGCTAAAGTCTTTTACTTGTAAAAAAAGAAATTTCTTACAAATTTTTGAAAAAGTGGTCCATTTTCTACAACTTTTTTGTTTTTAAGATAACAAATATATTATAATTATTAGATATTGAAAGGATCATCTTCACCATTTATATTTGCAATCTGTACAGCACCCCATAACTTCGCTAACATGCTCATAGCTTTAAGAATATTGATCTTTAGGGGTGTTTTACCAGCATTGATATATTTGATCTGACATCTCACAACATTTGGTATATAAAAACCCTTCAATATATAAAAAGCCTTCAATGCTCTTATCTTCTCTGGTCCTATGGTTGAATTTCGGAGGTTGTGTTGGGTGTTGGGTGTTTTGGAGGTTGTGTTGGGTGGTAAAAATACTAATTGATTTGCTATGATCAACATACTAATTATCAACATAGGCAGCTTTTTGCCAACCTTATTACTTACTCTGAAGCTAAAAATGATTTTAAATAACCAAGATTTCGATTAACTGAAGGTTCGAATAACAGATGGATATTTGCATGAGTTTGTAAATGAAAATTTACAAGGAATAAAAATTGCTTTGAATAAGTGAAAAATTTGAATAAATCCCAGTTTGAATAACTGGGAATTTACTGTAGAATTAAAACTATTAATACTTACAAATTGTTTTTGAGTTTTGAAAGATAAGATTGAAACCAATCACTTAGATAGAAAAGATGTAATTTCAAGAAAATTTGTAGGAGTTATAAGTAGACTGTCACATTTTTGGCAATATCACTTTTTAATAAAGTCCATTCTTAATCTACTTTTTAAAGTTACACATATGTGTGCATATATAAGCATATACATAATAAATATCATTATGAATATATATACTCATGATACTGTTTCCTTTTTTACATCATTACTCAAGCAATGTATAATAGAAGGTTAGTATAAGTGTTACATATATACATTTTTTTTTTTAACATCTCAACTTCTAACAAGACTGCAAGCAATCACTTTTATAGTTGGAAGTTACTAGAAGAGAAAAGATGAAGTTTATAAAGCAAGATAATGATTAACAGACAACTTAAAATGAAACTTAAACTTAAAAGATTACAAATTATATAAATCAGAGAAACAAGATAAAAAGAACAAATTCTAAAGAACTGATGTTTAAGGCAAAAAATCTTTATTAATTTAAAATTAATAAAGAAATTATTAATAACAACAGTATAATAAATAATAATTAATATGATATATAACAAAAACAACCATAAAACACATTGCATTATCAGTTAAACACACATATGTTTAAAAATAACGCTAGAGATTGCCTGATGCTGGATAATAAAACAAATAAATTATATAAATATAATTTATTTTAACCAGCATCAAGCTCAGGTAAATTAACAAGTTTAAAAAGCAGTAAGTAAGAAAAGCATTTTCAAATATAACAAAAATAAAGTGAACCATTAGATAAAAACAAAAGTAATACATAAGCATTTGAAGCCTTTCAAAAGCAGTGAAGCATTTCGAAAGCGAAAGAACAGAAGTAATACAAAATAAAACAATTGATTAGAAGAAATAATAGAGCACAACAAATAAACAAACCATTAAGTTGGTTTACAGCAGTTATCTTTTGATTCTTGATATACTGTATAATAAAATCAAGCTTTGCTTCGTCTATCAAAGATCCACTAGCAAGGGAATACAACAACACACCAGTTGGCTTTGCAATAGGTGCATCACCATCTTTTGCCTATATAGTAAACAAACCATTATAAACCATTATACCATCAATAGAAAAATTAGGATTTCATTAATGTTTTGTAAAAAACTGAAATTAGAAAAAACTACATTCATTACTTGATATACTCTGAAATACTGTAGTTCAAAAAATGGTTAGAAACCGAAAGAAAGAAATATTTTTCTTTTCAATAATAATAGACTCAAGGATTCCTAATCATTTTTTTAAATTTTAGAAGCTTAATAATTACATAGTAAAATTAAAGGGAGAATACCTTAAGTTTATTTGGGACTTGTAATTTTTTTTTTCTTCTCTTGTATTGTAATTAATATATCATATTTGGTTTTCTGTTTTTATATTGTTGTTATTGTTTGCTATTGAAAATGTTTTTATTTTTTCAATAACTGCTATATTTTTAATTGCTCAATAATAATTAAAATTTTTTTATTTATATCTTAATTAAATCTGACTTAATACTTGCTACTGTCATAACTATAAAAAACTATAAATACACATTGAACAATGTCATTAAATTCTGCAACATCTTTCTCAATAAGTATAATTTACTATATAACTACTTATATTGCAATTTACTAATTCTTTCCAGTTTACTTCCACATTTTATTTAAACAACATTAAGAATATGCTGCAGATACCATATTATAAGGAAGAAAAATATCACAGTCTTGAGTTTTGTCTTGAAAATCTTACTTGATTAATAGTTTTTTAGACAAGCTTACAATAAACAGAAACAATAACACTTCTTCTGGTGACATATATATATATATATATATATATATATATATATATATATATATATATATATATATATATATATATATATATATATATATATATATATATATATATGTATATATTTATATATATATACATATATATATATATACATATATATATATATATATATATATATATATATATATATATATATATATATATATATATATATATATATATATATATATATATATATATACACACATATACACAAACACACACTATTACATATAGGAATACAACTGTATTATTAGGAATAGTATGTCACAAGCTAGAGGTGTGATGTGGCATTCCATATTATGCATTATCACATAATAAACAATAATACATAACAAGCCAGCACACCATCACACCATATAGCACTACATAATCATCCTCATAGATCACAATATTAGTATAATTCCAAAATATTATTGAGTTTTTATAAATGCTTTTAGTAATTATAGAACAGCTATTGTTAAACTATTATATTAATTGAAAATTTAAACTCTGGCATTTTTTTAGATAACAAAATACCCCTTCAACTTTTTAACAAAATAATGGTTTTTATTTGTAAACATTATATAAAATTACACTTTTGCTTTTTAAGTTAAATTATGTTTTTAGGTTATATTGATTTTATATATTTATCTTTTAAACAAAATTTCAAAATCAATGTCTGATTAAGACACTACAAATAATTAAATTATGTTTTTAGGTTATATTGATTTTATTAATTTTTCTTTTAAACAAAATTTCAAAATCAATGTCTGATTAAGTTGAACAATAAATAATTTTAGAAACTAATCTTTGCATACTTTTGAATTTTTTTTTTTTCTAATTTTAAAAAGCCCCCATTTTAATAGTGTATTACTATCAAACTTTATTTATTTAAATATTCCTTTTGATTTAACCCAAGTACTTATAATAAATTTGTTGTGTTAAATAAATTAATATAAGTATTAGGTATTTTACAATTTTTTAATGGAATTTGCTAATAGCTTGCTATTAGCAAATTATAAAAATTTAATTTTTGATATCATCTTTTGCATTTAACCTAATAAACGCAAACTTAACAAATTCAAACTTATTGTATTAATAAAAATCATAAATGCTTTCATTTTTTAAATCGTTTGAAACTCTACATTTATAAAAAAAAAATTATTATTAGGCCAAACAATGTGCATTTTTGTTAAATCTGTATCTTCTTTGTGTTTAATCTTCCCTATATATTCATTGAAATTTTAACATAATTAAATATTTATTTAGTTATACAGTCTGTATAGCTAAATGTAAATCAAAAACATTTTAATGCCTCTGTATTACAGACGTTTTTAATTTGCTTCCCATAATTGTTTACATTATTAACTCACTTTATAAATAATGGATTCCAATTTTTTTGTCAGACTTTCATTTCGAATAGTCTCTTTAGCTTTCTGCTCGGTCAAACCAATTGACTGAAATAAAACGATGTAATTACTCATGACTAAATGAGAACGAGAAAGAGTTCTGAAGATTTTAGGAAAACCAGCTTTGAAAAGCAGCAATTTTGCCAACCGCATACGACTCAATAATATCGGTGTTATTTTATTTCTTCTACAATGTTTTTACTTGTTTATTTTTAAACCAAAGATTAAAATATTTCACAGTCAAATTTGGATGGTCAAGAATGAATCATTTATTTGGAATTTTGAGCCGGATTTCTAGTTTAGGCGGGCGGAGACAATGTGGGGTATAACTGTGAGGTGGATTTTCCTTGTTTTTATGTTGTTGTTTTTTTTAATGTAGAATATCTTAGACAAAGTGTTATTACGTAAGGATTTTTTAAAAAATATTATTTTTTATTAAACAAATAAATTCAAACGGCTGCGAGCAGTGGCGTTCCTAGTTATGGTGTCACCCGGGGCGGCAAATAGGGTGTCACCCATATATTATATGTAATTACTTTAATATACGAAATTATTAAAGCAGTATTTAGAAAAGCTGATAAAGTGAAAAATGGTTAAAATTGCACCCACACAAAGTTATCCAAACCCAAACAAAATTTGAGTATGTTTTGATTATGAAGAATTTTTTTAGACGACATTAAGTCTTTATTTCATTTTGTTTATATTATAAGAAGAAAGCTAAGCGATTATATTTTCTAAATAATGATAACTATATCTTCCAGCATTCAGCATTTCGCAGGTCGTGTAAATAAATACCCACTTATTTTTTTATGTAAGACTGTTTAATTATAAACCAAAATAAAATATAAGATATTAATAAATTGGGTGTCACCCTAAAGTGAATGACACCCGGGGCGGTGAGCCTCCCCCTCACTCCCCCGTAGGTACGCCACTGGCTGTGAGGCAGTAAATAGAACAGTTGGTTTAGAAGCAACAGATCCATAGTTCGAACCGAGCTCTAGGCCGATTGGTAAGGAAACAGGAGTGAATTTCTTAGTTAAATGCTCTTCCGTGGTGCTTTGTGACAAGACCGTTAGTTCTTGTTAGGACACTTAAAAAAAATTAAAAAATAAAAGTTATAAAATCTTTATTTTTAAACAAGTTATCCCAGTTAACCAGTGCAACTGGGTACCAGCTGGAGCCCAACTGGGAAAAATGCTGGGAACCATCGGGGTATTCCGCATGGCTCCCATCGTGATTTTTTCAGCGGGATCCAACTGGGTCCTATTTAGGATAAGTCTGGATTTTTGATGGGAAAACCCATATTGAACCCAGATATTTTTTCCGCTTCGTGCGCAAAAGTTTAAAGTTTATTTTTGCAGATTCAAGATTTTTTTCGTTCAAGTGTCACAATTTTTATTTAACATTAAAAAGTTAAGGAACTATTGGGTGACAGGAATAGTGTCGAAAAATGAACTTCAGAATAGTGTCGAATATATTAAAAAGGCCTTATGTCGCAAAAGAAAGGAATAGTGTCGCAAATAAATTCAATAAATAGTGTCAAAAACACACAAAAAGAATAGTGTCGCAAATGAATTTAATTAATAGTGTCGAAAACAAAATAAGGAATAATGTCGCAAATTAATTTAATGAATAACGTCGAAAGTAAAAAAAGGTGTCGCAAATAGTAAAGACGGAATAGTGTCGCAAATAGTTAATTTCAGTAATTGCTCGTTTTGCTTATCTTTATAGCATACGGTTTTTACAGAAAAAAAAAACAAAAAAACAAAAAATAACGAAAAAAAAGATTGCTACAAAACCCCAAACCCTCATTCGATGTAGCGGCACTCCTTTGTGGCAACAGGCTGCAAGATAGTTGGTGCATGTACTGAAGCCCCTGGCAAAAGGCTATTTCAGTATAACATTGGACATGTTATCTAAACACACATTTATAGTTATCATTATTTTTTATTTTTGTTGCTTTCATTTAACCCCTTTAGAACATTATTCTTTTTTTCTATTTTCGAAGTTATTCATAAAATTTATTTGCAACACTATTTCTTTTTTTCTTTTTTTTTTGACACTATTCATTAAGTACATTTTCGACACTTTTTTCCTTTTTATTCCTAATTTTTATTCCTTTTTATTTCCTTTTTATTCTTTATTTACTCCTTTTTTGTGTTTTCGACCCTATTCATTTTACTCCTTTGCGACATTACTCCTTTTTTATATTCGACACTATTCTTTAAATTCACTATTCTTTAAATTCATTTATTTTTATTTTCGATACTATTCTTTAAATTCATTCAAAAGCGACATAGTTTCTTATTCTGTAATTTGACGATCAATAATGCAACAATTTGCGACACTTTTCCTTTTTTACATATTCGACAATTCGATTAAGAAGTTTAGGAATATTCCTAAATATTCCTAAACTTCCAGAATCCTTTACATAAATGATTATTGCAAATAAGATCACATTTTATAAGTATACAAATTTGCATTTTTTATCTAGGTTTACGTATTGTTCTTCATTGCCATGCAGAACAATACGAGGTATAAGTAGAAAAAACTAACATAATAATTCAGGAGCAGCCATGGTGCAGCGGTTGCGTACTTTGTTTTGTGACATCCGTTAGGAAGAAGGTGTGAACTTCCTACTAAATGTTCTTCCGCGGTACTCCATGATAAGACCATAAGGACTTCTTTGGGCACCTAAAAAAAAAAATTAAAAATGCCGTAAATCTTTAACCGGGCTGAAAATTTATTCAGAGTTTGGTGCTACATTTGCAGCAATTTTTATCAAATTTTATAAAGTGTTTCTTATTTTACAGGTGTTTTTATTGTCGCACTATAAAGTCAAAATTTCACCTAATTTGAACATTAAAATTAAATTATTTTCTGCGGACAAATTAACAGATTTGAAAATTTGTATCACAGGGTACCTTGATGAAACCCTTAAACGCCACTTATACATCACCCAGGGCCGGCGCGAGTAGGTGTCACGTGGGGGAGGGTGCTATTATCACTTTTTCCCCACTAAAAAAAAATAAAATAAAAGGTCCTCGTTCTCGAAAACTTGCCGACTTAATGACGACATTTGCCGACTAACTGTTTAAACTATCAAATACCTTAATCGAAAGGGTCGACATTTGCCGACTAACTAGTCAAAAAGGGTCAAATTTGCCGACTAAAAATCATTAATGGGGGGGGGGGGGGCCTTGATATCACCCCATATAAGTAGCGTTTAAGGGTCAGCTAGGTTGGCATTATTAGGATCCGTGCTAACCGTGTATGCAAGTTCCCACCTACGTCAATTCACACATTATTATTATTTATTATTATTATTATTTTCTCTTAAACACCCAGTAATAAAATTACAGGTAAATGCCAGTTCTTAAGAAACTCGCACTTATTCAGCGGAGATGATTCTGATTTTGTTTTTGCTTTGTTAAGTTGGTCTGGTATTTTTTTTCAAACGAAAAATTATGATTTACTCGCAAGTTTCAACACAATACGGATAAAAATAACTTTTATAATTATTAAATTTTAGTTGCAGACAAGTATTTTAACAAAAATATTGCTAATATAACAACTTAATATTTATAATGCAAGCAGTTTTAAGCGTAAAATAACTATTTCGACGGTATTTGATATTTATTTTTTAAAAATGGCTGCTGTCACAGAAGGTACGTCAAAGTTCTTAACCTTTCAATATTTATAATAAAGAAGTTATAAATGTGGTCGTAAATAAAATACAAAAATAAAACCATCGGTTGTCGATTCTCTAGTTAGTTTTGTGTAAACTTAGTTTTATAAAAGATATTTTTTATTGAAGATGAAATCATTCGCAGAAGATTGCTTTTTGATGGAGACGGAACAGGAGACGATAAAAGAATTGCGACTATTATAAGGACTATAATTCAATGGAGTGTGACCAAGTGTGATGAAGATGAAAGGTTAAATTTTATTATTTAGTAAATACATTACATAATAAATCAGAAAAATAACTTATGTAATATCAGAAAGAAAAAGTCCATATTTATTGTGAATTTAAATAAATCAGAAAAATAAATTATGTAATATCAGAAAGAAAAAGTCCATATTTATTGTGAATTTTACAAATAATAAAAATTAACTTTCTAATCACTTGAGGAAAAAATTATGCATAAATCTTTTTATTTTGTGATATAAAGATATGACATAGTTATCAAATAGTATAAACAAAGAAAAAAAAGCTGCAAGAAAATTACATGTTGTTGTGGCAATGTGTTTTTTGCCTATATTTTAAGTATATTTTTGTAAGGATAATAATACAAATTCATATACAAGTAATGCAAAGTTAATATTATAAAAAATTGCACTATTATTCACCTTAGAAATAGAATTTTTAAGGGGTTAAAGAAGAAATAAAAGAATTTGAGAAAAAGCAAAAAAAATTGCTTGCCATCAAGTTTTTAAAATGATTTATAAAATTACACATTAGATTGAGTTTTCCCTCTTTACTAAAAAATGTTTTCACTACATTAAAGCATTTTAGTATAACTATAGAATTTTGACAAAGGAAAATTTGTAATTAAACAAAGAATATTGCTTTTCTACTTTATATTTATTTCCATTAAAATATTTTGTTTTTATTTACGTGAAATTTAATTTAATTACACTATTTTTTACTAAATCCAAAAAAAAAAAAAAAGTATTTTTGGTTTTAAAATTTTATTAGTAGAACTTGTTTTTAACAAATATCAAGATAATTTTAAATTTCATATCTTACATTTATAGCACTAATATTAGTTTTGTTTTTAAAATAAAACAAATATAAGTTAGACTTTAAAGTGTTACTTATTGATCGTGTTATATTTATTCAGTTATTATACATGTTAGAAAAGATTATATATAAAGGCATTCTTCTACGTAACTGTTAATTGCAAAAGAGAAAACCCAAACAAAATATTTATAACTCAAGTTTAAGTTATTTGGAAAAAAAAATTTGTATAGGGTACCGTTTTGCTTTTGTCATACAAATATTGAATAAATTAAAACTAAGGATAAAACAACAACTGTTCTTCCATGATATTTTACAAAAAGCTCCATGTACAACAATATTACAAAAGGCATTGCATTGTAAACAGTTCTCTTTAATTTTATACAACAATGCTAAAGAACTACACAATAAATAAACAAAAATAAAAAACTTTAAATTGTAACAAAGAACTCATAAGAATATATTATTTAATAAAATAAGGTATTTCACTTCCATTTTTTACCTTATTTCTTTTTATAATTTAATGTTGGAGATTTTTTTCCCATATATTTAGACTTTTATTTTGGATATTTTTGTAAGTTTTTTGTTTATAGCATAAAAGGAATAAATGCAATAAAAGCAAAGCAAACTCACATTGACTTTGCTGAATGACAAGCCAAGCAAGAATGAGTTTTGGTTAATTCAAATAGAGATAGTAGCTTGTTTAAGCAGCAACCATGATAGCATTTGTATAAAAAGAGATACAATCTTTTAACGATGAAGAGTGGCCCAAGTTTGGCAGGTAAAGCTTGTTCAACTATATTTACAATGTGCTTTCAGACCTTGTCTGAGAGTGAGAAGATTGTAGTTATCAGTATAAGAGTGTCAATAATATTGCAATAGATGCTTTGTTATTGTTTTTTTTTTTTTTTTTGTAAAAAAGATGAAAAAAAAAAAGATTATGGTTAAATATAGCAACTGCACAAAAAGGTGAAAAATGTAGAGCAGAATGAGGCTTGACTTTTAACAGACAAGAAGAAATAAAAGTTTTTCATACCTGCTTTGATCCATTAGGTTAGGTAAGAGTTTATGCATATATGATATGAATATAAATTGATATAAACATATAAATTTTTTTATTCATTTAGGTGCTGGCATACTATATCCTTACATATTTATTTTAAGTTTAGCATTTATATGGTGTAGTATTATTACTTACAAGAGAAGATGATCAGATGGATGTGAGGTATGACTCTAACAAGATAAGAAAAGGAGTCATAATCTTAGACAGAGATTAGAAAGATATTTTATCGAACAATGTTTGTCAGGAAAGATTAAAGTGGTTTGGTTATCAGCATGTAGCAGCATGAGATAGTAGCAGGGTATCATGAGAAAATGGTAGAATTAAGACAACTTTGAAGTATTCCAACCAATTATGAAGTAACATTAACAAATTAAGATGCTATTGCCAATAAATGAAATATTACTCCATCGAATAATCAATCAAATAACTTTTGATTGAATGGTTTATTTTTATTTGGATCTAAACATTGAATTGTTCAAAATAAATGTGCTTTTTACAATTCTTTTTGACTGCATGGCCTCTTCTTTTTTAAACTTTTCACACACTCAAAAATAGTGCAATATAAATAGTTTCTTGTCCCAGTCTTTATGAATTCTTTTATAGACATAAAAAGAAAATTGAAAATAAGTATACTCTATAATTTCACACTTCTGAAATATAGCCACATTACTATAGCTACAAGATTTGACACACGCTTATGCTTTTCTACTGATAACTATTACAGGACGGCCACTGGTCATGGAAATCATGAAAATGTCATGGAGTTTTATTTGGTCATGGAAAAAGTCATGGAATTCTAGTGATTTATCATAAGAGTTTATGAAGAGTCATAGAAAAGTCATGGAATTTCATTTTCAAAATTGAGTGGCCACCCTGTATTAAGACTTTTTTTAAACCTTTACACTCCTTGAGCTGAAATATGAAAGTTGATAATTTGTTGGCTCCAGAAAGTCATAAAAGTAGAAAATTGAGATTCATTAAAGTGATAAAATCATTTTTTATGTTCATATGATTAGGGAATAAATGATACAGAAAATCAACAATAAAATTATGGCTATTTCCAGTATTAAAATCAACAATGCTGCATTCTATATTTATATCAAAACTAATGTTTTCAAATTTCTTTGTTATAATACAAAGGTTGAATTAAGCAATCGCGATTTGCAAAATCTGGAAAAATATCTGGTCTTCAAAATTTGAGTTTATGCAAAGCCGTGTACTTTGTTTTTAAGGAGCAAATTATTATAAGTTTTTTAGCGAAAAAGTTATTAAAAACAAAACAAAACAATAAACTTACGACTACATAAATAATAACACTCCAGTCACTAACTGCATTATAAAAGTAAAAAAACTATATTAGTGTTATATTTTTGCATTCTTTTCGACAAGAAAATATACAAGATGTAAATTTTTTGTTTAAATATATAATTTCAAAAGCTTTATTTTTCTTTTATCCTTTTTCCAAGTTTGTCATTGAATCTTTAGTTATAAAAAAAATAGAAAGAACTAAATAACATTGTTTTTATTGCACTTTTTTACACATTTTCTTCTGAATTGGTGTTTTTGAATTAGGTTTCTGAATTTGGTTTCTTTGCATTTTATATTGTTTGTCCACATTTTGATTCTAGAAAGTTGAACATAAAACTTATTTTTATAACGATTGTTTACATTATGAACTTGTCTCAGCACTTGAGGATCTTTTTAAACCATGTTAAAAATCATTTAATATAATTTATAACAAAAGTTAATGATAAAATCTAAACTCGGTATTTGAAAAAGATTTTCTTATAATTAATTTCTTAAAGAAATCTTATACAAAATATAATCTGCAGTTTAATTTGTTTTTGTTGTTGTTTGTTTATTTTTTACTTTTTTAATGAATTTAATAAAGATTATAAACAATTTATAGATAGATTTTATCAGTTACCAATAGGATATTTGTAAATATAATTTATGTGCTTAACTTGCATCACAAGAACTTTACATGGTGTTGAATAAAAACAAACTTTACTAACTCTTTTACATTTCTTCAATACTAAATTTAAATTTCTAAATTTCAAATCATATTTAAATTAAAATCTTTTAATTTAAAAAATATATTTTGAACATTTTGTTTCTTTAATAAAAAAAAATTGTTGTTAAATGCTTTTTTTTATGACTTAATATTTTCTGAATAATAATAACAATAATAACAATATATATATATATATATATATATATATATATATATATATATATATATATATATATATATATATATATATATATATATATATATATCATCATTGTTTACTAATAGTACGAGTACTAATCTAAGGTAAACTCCAATTAATAATAGCAACCATATAATAATAATAATTATATCAATAGTACTGTTAAATATAATAATGATAAAAATAATGATTATATTAGTAATTATAATAACAACAACAATAATAATAATAATAATAGCAATAATGACAATAATAATAATAATAATAATAATAATAATAATAATAACAACAATAATAAAATTAACAATAATGATAATAATATTAACAACTATCACATATAGATATTAAACAACTTTAATAAGTAATAATGACGGTACTTACATTTTATTTAAAAATTTAAATAAAATGTAAGTAATATTAACATCACATATAATAATAATACTAATAACAATAGTAATAATAATCTATTATACGTCTAACATTTAATTAGAGTATTTTTCTATCAAATAGTCAAAAACACGGTTTTTAAATTGTGAAATAGAGTTGAGCGATTGAAAATGAAAAGGTAAATTATTTTACGATTTTATGCATTGGTTTGTAATAGAATTATCACCGCATTTTACTAAACAGCGATTTGGGATAGATAATTTAAAGTTACTAAAAGATCAAAGGTAATAACGAGAACTTTTTTTAGTGGTAAAAAAATTTGAGAATGAAGGAGGGAGGTTTACTTGTTTATGATTCCAGGCAAATAGACGATTTAATAGATAAACATGATCACATAGTTTGAGTATTTTTGATAGAAAGTATATTATTTTCTATCAAAAATTTTCTTTTCACTTAAAATAGAAAATTGGTGATTAAATACAGTAAAGTTTGTTTAAGAAAGGAAAAAGTGTCTTCCAAAGCTTTTTACTGAGTATATATTATTGAATATCAATTCAGCGTTTGAATATCAGTTCAGCCTTATTTTCATTTTAACTAAGGCTTTTTTTTGGCTTTCTAGATGTATGGAATGCATTAAAATAGCACCCCATAATGAATGAAATGCATTTAAACAATTTTTATAATTGTTTTTGTTTAATTTCTTTAGATCACCCCTCCTCCCCTCACTTTCCTAGGGCTGATCTAAAGAAGATAAGTAGAAAGAAGTAAATAAAGGCAATTATATTTAGAATAATATTTTGTGGATTTTTAAAATGCTGAATGATCTTGGTGACCTCTTTGGTAATTTTTTTTGTGCTATTTTTCATAACTCAGCATTATTTAATTTATTATTTAATATTTTTTACGTATCATTTTGGAAATTAAATGCTTATAATATATAATGAATATCTCAATTTTATGTAGAATAATATATTTGCGTATTTATAAGTTTATTCGCGTATTTTTCTAGCTGGCGCAGGTGGGTTAGGTGTGGGTGGGTCAAACACTATTTGGACAAAACATGTTCTATTTAATCGTGTTTTGGTGGAACAGTTTTAACAGTTAGTTTTAACATCTTATAAGTAATAAAATTGATCAATCATGGACCTATTTTGTTTTATACTACTTTTTTTTACTATTTTATTTTTACTATTTTTACTTATTTTTTTTTTTTACTATTTTACTAATGATTGATTTTTTTTATATTATTATAAAATCACACTTAATTTTTCTTTGATTCATCATTTAAAATCATAGTTTTGTTCATTTAAAGCCTGTAATATTAATATCTTGTTAACAATCTTGACAGTATTTCAGCCCTCAGAATAAGGGCTGAAATACTGTCAAGATTGACAGAATAACAGCAGTTAGGTCAGCATTCCCGAATGCCGACCTAACTGCTGACCTAAAAGTGTTTGAGGTTGGCAAAAAATTCCCGACCTCGTTTTCTATGTTTTATGGTAACCCATTTTGTGTCAAATTTTTTTTGCCAATCTGATGCCGACCTCTAATAGTTTGTGGTTGGCATTTTATTGCTGACCTCATTTTTCCTAATTCTGAGGGTTGATATTTGAAAGTAGTTCATACAACTTTGTGCTTTAAGATATAATTTTATAAATAAAAAAAGTTTTAATAAATAAAAAAAAGATATCAAAAAATAATGATATTTTTAGGTAATTTTTGGAATTGGATTAAATTTAAAATTTAAAAAAAATATTTTTAAGATAAGTTTTTATTAAAGTTTTTATAATTTTATAAAGCTTTTGCAAGATATTTGTTAAAATAATATTAGCTTTTTTTTTTTTTTTTATGTTTTTTAATAGTTTTGTTGCAATTTGTTGTTCTGATATTTTATTTAGTTAAATTTAATTATAAATCAAAATATTAGATTATTTTCTTTCATATTACATTTTGCATTTAGAAACATGATGTACCAAAAAATTATTTCAATGTTGCATCATTGTGAATACTCTTTTCGCAAACATCACCTTTCATACTTAATGAATATAAAAGAAAGGCAGCATTATGAAAGTTTATATGAACATGTTGGTGTGTAAATTTTACTACCTAGTTATAATTAACTTTGTATTTTGTTTTCTGATAGTATGTTTATTTTTAACATTTAATGTTAAGGTTTTTGGGTTGTTAATAAGTTTAAAATGATAATAATAATAATAATTAAAAAATAGTAATAATTTAGTGTTTAGGTTTTAAAATGTAGAGGCTTTATTTTTTTTTTTTTTATAGTTCAACTTTTATAATTTTTTAAACTTTATACAAAGTTTGTATTTTTGTCTGCTACTGTCTATTTTATCATTGCCATTTTATTTATTTATATATTGAAAATATGTAAATAAAATAATAACAAAATAGAATTAATAAATAATATATAATAGTTATAATGTATAAGGTAATATAATAATCATAAAATATATATTAAATAATAGTAATATGTAATATATAAGTATATAAAAAGGAGATAATAACAAAGTTGAATATTTCAAAGTTTTTTTGTTTTATAAATTTAGAAAAACAAATAGAAGAAGCAAAGGATGAAATCAAATTTTGTAAGGAAGAATTAAAACGAGCTAAAGTCATTCGAAAAAATAAGCAAGGTTTGTGTTTCATTGCAAAAAAAAAATTTTTCAGAAAATTTTTTTTTTTTGAGGTTTTATTTTGACACCAGTTACTTTTTGAAAATATTTTTGAATTTTTATGCTGTATATGCCTAGAAAATTGCAGTGCAATTGTTTTGTTGATGATTATAAACAATTTCTAATTTCTATTGTATATATTTATAAATGTTGTTTGTTAAAGAGATTTTCTCAGGTTTGTTTACTTACATAGCTAGTTTTGTTTCAACCCCCTCTCTTTCAGAGAAAGAATAGGAATTTTTTTTATTTATAGGCACTTTTTTGACTTTTTTTATGCACCACACAAACTTTTTTAACAGGATAAAAAACAGTTTATCTAATAAATCATATCCAGAGAATATAAAATCAAATTCAGAGAATATAAAATCTACAATTACTATGCAATTATAATCAAATTCAGAGAATATAAAATCTACAATCATAAAAATACAATTATTAGCTGTAAGTCTTTATATTACATCATTTATTGCTTATAGCATTATATTGTAAAAATAAAATAATGCTTGACCTGTTAAATGCTCATCTTTGGTTTTGTTACGCAATGGATTTTTCAAAATATTTATGGCACTATAGGTTCCCTTTAACTGTATATGTTTTCCACCCAACATGCAGGCTTAGAAATTAATGCCGTGCGATTGAGCACTATTGATGACCATGTAAATGATTTTTTTATTATTGACAACTTGACCATGACTGTTTAGGTGTTTTAAAAATGGTTTTAAAATGCGCTGAAAAAAGAAACAGTAAATTAAACCTAAACTAGGAAGAAAATTTTAAAAATAAACTAAGAAAAAAGAAAACAATTCCTTACAAAAAAGAAAATATAAGCAAAAATAAAGCTCAAAAAACTCGAAACAAAAATTACTTTTTATTACGTTTTTAATTGCGTTTGAAATAAATTACCTAAAAACTTATCTTTTAAAATGTTGTATTAAAATTATACAAAACGCTTTTACTAATGACTTCTAATGATTGTTTAATAAATGAACAAATTTTATATAAATTGTTAAAAAGTGTTATTATTTTTAAATTGTATAAACATTTATTTTTATCAAAAATTGTTTAAAAAAATAATGTAGTCTTTTTAAAATAGTAATTTTTATTCATTTCATGCTCTGATTAGTAAGTCAAGTTAAAAAAATGGTTTTAAACAATTCTTTGTAAAAATAGAAATAAAAAAAATAAAGCAATTGAATCATTTCATTCCAATAAATGTTATTCATAACGTAACATTTTTAAAAATTGTATTTAAATTAACAAAATATTAAAACAGCCGTAGTCAAGTTATAAAGAAAAAAAATTACAAGTGTGGTCAGTTTCAGTGTGCAATCATGCACCATTCCTGTCCAAGCCTAAATTAAAGCCTAAATGTAGGGTACCACCTAAGATTTGCTTCTACTCACAGATTTTATGATGAAAATACAATTTTGAAAATTTCAGCTTGATTGGGTTAACTGCTTAAAAGTTATAATCGAATCAATATATATATATATATATATATATATATATATATATATATATATATATATATATATATATATACATATACATATACATATACATATACATATACATATACATATAAATATATATATATACATATAAGTATATATATTTTTAATGGTACTCACTAAAACCAAGAATGTTACTGCAGATGAGGAAGCTTGTGGTTATAATTGTGGTTATAACCCTCTCTCAACTCTTTAACACAAACCTTGACAAACAAGGCAGCTGTGCAGAGTGGGAGTCAAACAGAAGCGAGTGCTCTACCACTACACCACTACCGCAATATTTACAAAAATTGAAAATGTTTGAAGCTATAATATCTGGAGCTTACAGTAAACTTTTTTGATATTTTGACCTTAACTTTAAAAATAAAATAGGTGATTACATAAAATTTTGTACAATAAATTTTTTACCCAAATAATCTATTTTTGCAGGTGATTTTGACTGATTTTAAACAGTTTTTAAATTATTGTACCCCATTGTCGCTAAAAATCCCAGTATAAAAAATTTTTGAAACTTTAATGTGCTACGGTTCAATACCTGCAGAAAGGCAGTGCAAATTTTCTGTTACTTTTTTGTATTTAGGGTAACCACCTGTATAAAAAAGCAAAATTGTGCATTAAAAGTTAGTTAAACACTTACAGCAGCTTATTAAATTATAATTTTTTAAAAAAAAAATATGATAAATTACATTCACTTTGCAGACAAAGAAAATAGTGTAAACAGTTTAAATAAATTTTTGCCTAAATATATTTACAGTAAAAAGAAACTTTTTTTTTATATAATAAAATAGTAAGTAAAATGATAATAAATGATAGTCAGGCAATATAAAAAGAAAAAATAGACTAATAAATGTGGTACTATTTATGGTCTAAGTTCAAGATAATAAATTGAAAACTGATACTCACCTGTGTAACATAAAAATATATAAATTTCGTTAATATAACCAATTATTAATATAAAGCTTACAAAGCGCTAAAATTCATAGGTGTAAAAGGTAAAAAAATGTTGGTGTACTTATAACCAATTAGAATTAAGTACGGATGAATGGTGACCCCCCTCCTCAGGAATGCACTGCGATCACCAATGACATTTTTGGAACGCCACTCCTCAAGGGCGTGTCCTTGCAACAGATCTCACTGCCTGCACTCTATGTTATGCTAGTCAATATTTCAATATATATTAGGACTACACTATAAAAGCCAAAAGTTCCAATCCCTATTTCAGTTTTAAATACAGCTCCAATACTCTTAGAAATCTTGTGAGGGTGGTGAGGGATGCACGTTGGTATGACCATAAATAAATATGTAAATACCTAGACATATAAATATCATGTTGCTTACACTAGAAGAGACAAATGTGTATACATAATTTTAATGTATAAAAGTAACACAAAGCAAATAGAAGTTAGTAATTAATAATGAATAGTATCTTACCATCTCTTTTATGGCTGTAATATATTTTATAAATATAATAAGTAAATACCACTCATAAACATCGAAGCTAAGTTAAGATGGTTTGTGGTTAATACGAAAGTAATTAGTAGAAAATGTGATGACTCTAATAGTACAAGAAATGTTAATCTTACCTGATAAGTAGAGACAATAGCTTCCACGCAAAGCAGATTCAAATGATTTTCAAGATATTAAAAAAATATACAAACATTAAATCAGTAGACAGAAAATAGTGAGAAAATAAACAGATGAGATAATAAATGCGATTTTCACTAATAGCTTATAGCCACTGAAAAATGTAATATTAAAAAACAATATTGTTGACAAAATGTCCAAAAGAACATTAGTGAAGACTGTATAGTGCAAATCACAACAAACTAACTAGTGACATCAGATCAAGAAAATTAGATAAAAACTTAATTGGGATTGCGATATATCTATTTAGTAGAATAGTTCCAAAGATGCATACATTTGTAGAATACATTTGTAATAAAAATACGCTACATAAACCTGTGTTATTCTTGTTGTGTTTGCTACTCAGCCTAATAATTGTAACCGAGGTCTGTTGTCAAGTGTGAGTGACTCAGCATTTTTTATGTATACATTATCTGGTTATTCATATTAGAATTATCTCTTTGTTTTGAATACATGGTTCTTGGTTTTAAATACTTTTATAGATGGTTATAATTATTATTCAGCGTAAAACTTATTTTAACTTCCATAAACAATATATGAAGCTATGAGCACTGTCCCAAGCATGGCAGTTTTGTACCAGATAGAGAGAAATATTTTTTATGGAAAATCTCTCCCAATTCTGTTTACAATACCCATTTGCTGAATAATGTCAACTTGGTACAAATAGAACTTTTAAATTATAAACCAGTTAAAGACATTGCATGCTTTTATAATGAGGAATAGTAAATAGGGTTTGTGCTTGAGATTTGTAATGAAAACCAAGATGTTAATGAGAAGTTCATGCATTGAAACAAATAATTTTTTTTTTGTCTATTTGACAAAATAACATGTCAAATTAATGTTCAATCCATTAAGGGTAGAAGTGCTTGTGACTACAATTTTGCTAATAATGATTATAACGGTGTTATGAGTTATTTAAATCAGAGATAGTGAAATTAGTGCACTTGTGTTTCACGTGTATATACACATTAGTTTATTATTTTAACTATATTATTTTAATTTTTTTGCAATATAATATAACTTGCATTATATTTTAGGTTTCTTTTTAAACTAAAAAAGCATCACACTTATGTTATATGATAGAGTATAGGTCTCTCAAATTGTTTTTTAGAGATTGCCTATATATAGAACATTCACAGTTAAAAGTTTCATAATTTATTTAAACTGTTTACGCTATTTTCTATGTCTGCAAAGTAAATGTAATTTATCATATTTTTCAAAAAAAGTGATATTTTAACAAGCTGCTACAAGTGTTGAACTAACTTTTAATGCATAGTTTTGCTTTTTTTAATTTTAATGCATAGTTTTTGCTTTGTGTACTTAAAGTAACCACAAGTGGTTACTTTAAGTACACAAAAATAACAAAAAATTATTACTGTCTATCTGTAAGTATTGAACTGTAGCAATTTAAAGTTTCCTAAATTTTTAATAATATTGAGATTTTTAGCAAATATGGGGTACAATAACTCAAGAACTGTTCTGGTTAAAATTTACCTGCAAATTTACCTGCATTTAATTGAAAAACTATTACTGTACAAAATCTTAGGTAATTTTATTTTAAAAGTTATGGTCTGTCAAAAATCAAAAAAATTTACTGTAAGCTTTTTCAATTTTTGTCAATATGGATTCAATTATAACTTTTAAGCAGTTATAAAATCTCAGATTTGCCAGGGTACCACCTCAGATTTGCTTTGAATTTTGACCACCCCATAAAATCTGTGGGTGGTCAAAATTCAAAGCAAATCTGAGGTGATACCCTGGAGCACTTTCTTAAAGTTTGTTTAAAAAGCAACAGGTATCCAAAAT